TACGAAAACCCTTAAGCTATTCACACCAACGAGATTACAAAGACAGAACTCAAATTGTGTAAACAATTGTCGTTTGACAATTATTAACTTTTTCACGTTTTTTATTATTATTATTATTATTAATTATATTATTATTATTATTATTATTATTTATTAATTATTATTATTATATTTTATTATTAATTCTTATTTTTTATTATTAATTATTATTATTATTATTATGGCAATGTGAACAAATCTATATCGTCGCTGCGGACCCTTCATGATTTTTTTGAATTTTTTTGGCCCTCGGTTAAAGCCTCCTTAATAGGCACCAATTTAGTGGTGCTTAAAAACAGCCAACTTCTTTCTGGGCACTTCGGAACAGCTTTCTACAGCGGGGACGTCCTACGATGGCGCTCCCTGAAGTACTAATTTCCAGCTTCAAATTAATTCTCCCCACAGACTCACCCGTACGCATGCTCGCACCCCATTTACGAAAGCCTTCGGCGGGCAATCAAGGTGGCCGGGCACCTTGGCAAGTAATCTGTATATCCTGGCTGCTGGCGAACACTTTCTACCGCTTCCCTGTTGCTGCTCTGTCAACCGCCCTTGTGCACAGTCAGAGGTGAAAGCCACAATGGCCAGTTTCGCCGACGGGACAGGTTGAGCCAAATAACAATAGCGGTTTCATCGTTCATGGCGACTAGGGACCTTGGGACGCGACGTGGTTAATGCAATCCTTTCACCCCATCTCCCAAAAACGAAGGCGGCGCGTCACCCAGGGAAAGAATCGTGATTACGCCGCACTAGCGGCAGGAAACGTCGACAACGTCAATGAATTAAATAAACAACATACATTGCTTGATTTGATCTCACAAGGCCACCGAAGTGAAAGTTGAGTTACTGACTATAAAGGATACCAGATTTTAAATTACCTAAGATGAATTTTCTTTCTGATCCAGTTTCCGCCGCAAGCACAATTGATGGAATTCGGTTGGTACAAGAAGGGAAGCGATATAATTAAAGATACAACTAACCTTAGTAACAAGCGTTTTTTGAGATTATAAAAAAGTACAAATACCTTCCATTACACAGTACTTGCTTATAACTTTGAATCTATTTCTGGTGAATGTGAATCCCAAAGTTAATCATTATAGATGTTTCTCCAACATATTTTTTGGAATTCCATCACTTTCTATAAAACTTTTACAATTCTTTTCATTTCACATCATTATCAATGGAACCTAAATGCAGCAAACTAAGATGTGTTTGGCTCCACTCCATCAAAATTTCATTACCAATACAAATACCCCAAAAAGCATTAAGATATTTTTTTTTTCTTGCATATGGAAATGTCCATACTACTTTATGTCAAATTATTAGACAATCTCAAAAGTAAGTCAAGTAACAGCAATTCATAGTATCTATTGACACGGAAAGTTCTCGGCAAATTATTGGCAATCTGCCACAACAAATATACTGTACTCCATTTTTCACTCAGTCATGGCAAGCTGCTTTGTGAATTTACAGAAAGGATGAAATGTGAACTTCACCTTGACTATTCCCGAGTGAAAGTAGAAGGTTCAAATGAATTTATTTAAATATGCAGTCAGCTAGTTAAAACTGTATACAATGCACAGCAACACACTCAGCTTCAATAAGATACTATTTTCACCTAAACTCTCATCAAACAGTTTCTTTTCAGGGTACAATTTCCTGTGTACAATGCCAACAAACCGAAATTAAGCATTTCCATTTGGAAGACTGAAGTAATCCATGATACAGGAAATAATTTTATTCCATCGTCTATTCATACAAAATTTTGAATGCTAAACAATGCTAATATGTATATCAACATTATAACAAGAATGTGGAATGAAGTTTGAGTCACGGAATCAGTAAATGGAAAACATAGAATTTAGCTCTGTTGCTTTAGTTAAAAAGCCTTCAGAATACATGCACTAACTTAAAAATCCCTCTCAGATAAACAAAGTTGCCTTTCTAAACTGTTCAATAAAGATGTTGTCTGCATGGTGCGGTCACAACTTGCTTAGAGGTTTGCACCTCCAGAAATCAGAATTAGGCAACATGAGGATTGGCTACTCTAGAAGATAATTCCCGAAATTGTTTTTTCGCTTCCAATTCATTTTGCAGAGAGCTTTAGATTGGTTACTCTTATGTTTTTAGGTGTTAGGAGATATTACAAACTGTGTCTTTTATGTAGTGTCAGATTTTAAAAAATCTTTTTACATTTATATCATTGACGAAGCTTCTCATCATACATCACGCTGAGCTTCAGGCAGCCTCTTACAAAATTTTGAGGCTAAACTGGAAAATTTCTTAAATCTGCTCTTGCAGCCTGGTATTTTCATTCTACACAAGGATCAAGGTATTTCTCAATGTAATTTTATCAATACAATAATTCTTAATGTATTGTTGATACAAAATCGAAGTATGGGGAGTTCTAACCAGCACGCTCTGAACTAAACCTGTGTCAACTTCCCTGAACCACTTGCCAAGTATGACATTATTTAGCGGTCAGAAGAGTTGAAAAAATATCATGTAAACAATTTTTTTGTTAATTTAAAATTGTTCGTAATGTTTTAACTACTAATAGTGAGTGATGTTCAGTTACTGTATAATTACAATTTTTCTCAGTGAGCTATTTGCCTGTTATAAACACTTCTAAATTATCTATTAGTTGACACTAACTTTAAAATTCCTGTATAAACTTTTGAAACATAAATGCGGCTCTATCGTAACTCATTCCCTACGACTGGCTCTCAACATACTGGTTATTTGCCACCATGATACACATCAACCTAATCATTTTTGCCTCAAAATCGCTCTTCTTTAAAGCACGATACTACGATACTTCCAATTACAAATTTGAAATGAAGCATTGCACAAGATTCCAATAATTGACCTCAATTCATGAGTCTGTTTCCACAGAAACTTTCTCATTTACACAACCGTTGTTAACTATAGTGCATGTTAAATTCATTTCTTATTACGACATTATCTGGTGTGTCTTTTTTTGATTTCTATAATCTGCCATTCTATGTATGAACGCACTATATCACTGTAAATTGTATCCCCAGATCAGCCCTCACTATTCTGAGCACAAGTGAACATGTCAATTCAAATGTATTTTCCCACAACAAACGCACAGTTCAGGAAAGCAATAAATATCCTTAAGTCATGCAGACCTACCTGTGTTAAGCTCCTCTGCGCAGTTTCATCCTGCACAGGCTTATCATGAAGTCGCAGATACACCTCAATAGCCACTCTGCCTGAAATAGAAACGGGTGTGTGCCGGCATGAACTCTCTAAGCCGAAGAAGACGGCCACATCACGAGCGCAGCGTCATCTTCCGCATGCAAGTAAAGTGTGAAAAGTCAAAACTGGTCTTCGATGATATTCTTGAGAAGTCTGGCATGAAAATGTGCATAATAAAATGGTATGCTTGGAGGTATTTGTCAAAGTTACTTACCACAAATAAGGAGAAAAGGTCTTATTTCAACTTCAATGTATTCTAGGTTTCTATTCAACATAAAATACTAAGCTAAGACATAACCTAACCATTTAGAACTTATGTAACATTGCATTCTCAAATCACACAAGACATTATTAACGTCCAAAAATTTTCCAAATTAGAAAATAATTCAATATATTTAAATGTTCCTGAATATCTAACTGATGTTATATTCTCAGCTTCACTTCCAGTATTTGAATTCCAGAGTTAAATTAAATTTTCTAATGAAAGTATTTATGGTGATTTTTTTTTCTTTTGCAACACATGTACGATACAGATTAAGATAAATAGTGCAATTAACTATAAATGTTAAATTACTGTTATGTTTGTTTAAAAATGAAACTCCATTAATAAAACTAATCATGAAATGTCATTAGTAAATTTACACATTACATATTTCTTAGTGCTACCTGAACTTCAAAATGTCCAGTCACCCTACAAAATTCAATACTTTTCCTTACCTGTCCACTTCATGCATTTCCTTTTAAAGCATCTCCCCACTTCTCACGCCTTTGGTAAGCCAAGGCACATTCTGTTTTGGAACCACATGCACTGCATTTCAATTTAAGTTCTCCATGGCAAAACTCCCTCCTGTACGAATTTTTTTCCATTTTGTTATATTTTTCAATTAGTTGCCTTTAATGTTGTTCTAATTATACCCACAAGGTTATAATCATGAACAATAATAAAAGATAAAATTAGTAATGGACTTTTTCAATACTCTACCACCTTCTCTGACTATAAACACTAACTAAGTTATTTATTTTACATGCAATTTTTCCACACTTATTTAGAACAAACTGTAATGTAACAGTCATGAACTAGGAACTAGAATATTAAAATCACCATTAATTGTTTAACAACTCGGAATTTTCCCTAAAACAATTAAACTAACATGCAAAAAAAATATTACTTTACTACTCTCGTAAATTTTGAGCAGGTCTCTCAAGCTTTTTGCAAGATTTGCTCCGTAACATATACTTAGCACATTTGAAATTAATGTACCGTGTCAGCTGTATCAAGTCGCTGAGCCCATCTAGCACTTTATAGGCTTCTATGTACATCACCAAGCATGCTACAGACAATGGTATAATTGAAATTTTTTTCCAGATAAGGACCAAACTGTAATTAGAAACAAAAAATTCACACAATCAAACAAGGGGTTTTTAAATAAAACATTTTTTAAACAGAAAAAAAGATCTGCCATAAATTAGAGGAAAAACAATCTTATGTTAATATTTCTTCTTGAGCATACACAACTCTCAGTTGATTTTGTGTAAAATACATTAAAATAAAATGGGATTTGCAGTGAATGAATTGGAAGTTGGTATAGTTTCGATCTGTGTTTTACCAATAAGAACAAAATTATTTTAAATTAAGGTTCGGTTTTTTATTTCATGTTGCATAAATACACTAAAAAAGTTACCTTGTATATTCTGCTTTTAGCCACACAATAACCTTCTATTAATGTGGGTGTGTGATCAATAGGCAGCTCTATTATATGATAAAGCTTGGTTTGTCTGACCCCAGCAAAATTCATAATGTTGAGCCAGAAGATATATGCCCAAGAAGTGTGATGCAGGTTCTTTAGGAACTTGACTTTGGGAATCTGCAAAAGATAACAGTGCATTAAATACTGAACACATACAATAACTAAAACCAAATAAATGTTCTTATTAGCATAAACTGAACAATATACAATAACTTAATACCATCGTCGATTCATAGCTCACCTTCTTCACTGAATTTTCCAATCTTCTTCAGATGCATCTACATATTGGGAGCAGCAATCTTTGATAATTTCAAATCTTTTCAAGGATCCTTATACAAAGATTTAATTCCACAAACAATGGTGGAACACCTTTATGGAGCCTTGTCTCCGGTACTTATCAAACAATTAATCTAAACTGCATCACCTATAAATCAATGTGTTTCCAGTAATTTTAATTTTTACATATTTTTTGAAATCACAAGGACTTCATAAATGCAACCATTGTTCTCTTAACTGCATGAATATTCCTTTGACATTTACTAATTGTTGTATTTAGATACAGATTTGCTAATGCAGTTCAATAACTGATGTATTTTCAAACTGAAGTGTTTTGGTATTGTTTACGGTCCTAAATTTTTTCAAACATAACCTCTATTGGTGATAATCATCATAATGTAATTATTAAATTGTGACTCAAAATCAATACGAGTAATGTCATTTCACTTAGAAGCGAGTCATAAAATCTTAATTTCTTTTAAATAATTCATACAAATACGCAATTCTAAAAGCTAAAACGGCAATCGTTTATGGAAGATCATTGTAAATGACTACTTCTGTTTCCATTATTGAAGTTATTACAATCAAAAAACAATTTATTTTAAAAAAACAAATACCTTTAGTCTTACAAAAACAAATCGTAAAATCTTACTTTCATTTCCTAATCTTTTGGAAAACCTCACAGTAACATACAGTGTGTATGTCAAATACATCCTTTAATGCCATCAAGATGCAATTTCCAATCCGTTTCAGCTTGCCAAGCAAATAACGAAACACAGTACTCAGCCTTTAGCATAATTAAAGGTACGGCGAGGAGCCAAAGCACGTGGTACAAGAGCTTGATATTCATCAAACATACGCAAACGATCCATGAAGTTTCCAACTGTAGGGCTTCTGTAACTTTAATATAGTATCTGTGTTTTCAGGATTTCTGGGTGCAAGCTGTTTGTATATTCGTTCGGGGCATCTTTTATGGCGACAAGCTGCCAAATACAGCTTTCCTAAATGACAAGCAACAATGCAATTTAAAAAGAACAAACACATTCTTCACAATCATGAATAAAGTGAGATAAAGTGTGAATGAATGAAGTGTTGATAATATGAATAAGAGGCTAACAAAATTAAAATAACTCCTCAGTTTCTTTAATATTACACTGGGAAACCTGTAAAAAATGTTATGCTCACACACTAGACACTTCATTGCAATTTTATGAAAATATTATAGCGTACAAAACACTAACATTCTAATGGATAACTTCACCCCAAGTTTCCATTACTACAATTATCAAAATTTGGTCAGTGTAACGATCAAGATGTGCAAAGCAGTCCTCTAAAGCTCACTGATTCTTGAATTACCAATATTTTGATACATACAAACAATTCACTGTGGTTCGTTAGTCGTATGAACTCTTCTGTAACAAATCAGAATGCATAAATAACGGAAGTAATAGAATTTCCATATTACCACTACCTATTTACTTACTGATTGAGTGTTGCGAAATGCTTCAAGATCTTCAATGCTATTCATAATCTGTTAATAAATGATACGCCTAACAAATCCAATCCATGAGGGCTCTTTGAGTAGGTCGCAACATAAACAATTGATATCTTGTGTCCTTAAATTTTAAAAAAGATGTTTAATAGTACATGAATTTTGTCAATATTTTATGAATTTAATAAGCCAAACATCTGTCATTCATATTCTTTTTGGCAATCTTCCCTTATGCCTTCCAAGTCCCGCATACTGAATTTGTAGAAGTGCAAAGATCTCTAAGAATTTGCATATTATCTTTCTCCCATTTTAAATGCATTTCGATAACACTTAATAGCTTCATCATACTTTTTTATCTGAACGTCAGTAGGTCCATAGACATGCAACATACGATGAGATCTAAGATCATTACGAAGTCCTCGTCTACCATATTCATTGCTTCTTCTTTCCTCCCATAAACAATTTAATGTTAAACCTTTCATTGCCAACGTTTCTTGAAACAACGGGTGGACTGAGATTTATTAAAAGTTACAAAAAGAAGAATCGCATATCATTAAAAAAAGATAAAATTCAAATGTATGTTTTAACAAACCTCCAATGTTTTGCATATTTAGGGTTTGGCAAGAATTTGCTTTGCAAACTTCAACCCATTTTTTGTATTGTTTTCTGTTCATAACATTTCTGCAAGAAAAATGGTGAAGTTCTAAAAAAAAAGTAATACAGTATTACTACATTACACAGGGATATAATTTAAAAACACAAATCCCACTGAACAATTTAACATCATTCGAACAGGCCTCGCTCATTCTCACACAGGCAATTCTAACAAGAATTCAGTCCATACACAATAAGAAAAATTCCAAAATACATGCTTACTTTTGATGGGTGTTCCAAGATGATTATCAGAATAGAGAAACTTATGCTTACTCAAACAAAATCACGCGCTTCTGAATCTATTACAATTTCGGTTTCAAATGCAACATCATGAAAGGGCATAAAGTAAATATAATTCATACTAATTAAAGACGGTCAATGATCAGACGTCGTGGCCTGCCTAGGTTAGGTGAGATTACCAGCTAGCGGCAACTAAAAAAACTCAGCATTTTGCCTCAAATAAAAACCAAAACGATATGGTGCCTCATTATTTCATTTTCAATCTTTATACTACCTTCAATGAGAAAACACAATCTGTCAGAGTTATAAAAGAATTTATGACAATGAGCGAGGCAGCCCAACTAGAGCTTTATCAGTATTCCTTTGAACAGAAATCATAATATTTTGAAGTCATGCTCTTGCAGATAGGTGCCAACTTACCATATCCGCTAAATAACGCGTTTTTCGCTTGGGCGGTAGGGGTTAACTTAGGGCATCCTCCTAATTCCTACAAATCGGTAAATATAATTTTTCCTCGACAAACCTCGTGGCTTGAATCCAAGATGGCGTTCAAGATCACGTGAAACAAAAGAAGTTTTTGCCGATAGGACGTAATACCCACTAGCAGCCAAAAGCCATAGGCACATCGTTCAGGAGGGCTTTCGGAGTGGCAATTCGTAAAAATTAAGTCGATTTAAGAACAAACATATTCTTTCAAATATACGCTCATTTTCTTTTTAAAATGTAAGCTAAAAAATGAAAGTGTAGTTAGTGATCTCAATAAACTCAAACCAATATTTGTCATCTAAGACTTTTTTTAAAGTATACTCTAAATCGGCTGTAACAAGTTATTCTTACATTACATCATTCCTCCAACTTTATGCTTTCATACCTCTAATCTTCATTTATATGAGAAATACAATTTCAAAAATCAATGGATTTCAATCTAACATTCATTACCAGTTATCAGTTTGCTTTCATTGCCATTCTTTAAATTTTAAAGTACTTAATTTAAATTACTTCTTTGTTGTTAGGAAATTCATAAATAGAAAGATACCGATTCTGGAGTTCAAGAAAATTTGAGATAAAACTTCTCCCAGTTACCATATACAGTTTTTACTATTTTTTTACGAAGAAATAATCGGAGGCTGCATATATTTTTCAACTCTCGCATGTTCTTATTGTCATTCTGGTATTTCCTGACCATAGTTAATTAAATTAATTATATTATATTCGACAATTCAACTGAAGGCAATGTTAGCCTTTGGACATGATATGAATATTGTCTTCCGAGCTGGCACACCACAAATGTCCTGAGAAAATTGTACTTCCTAAAGTTTGCGTTTACAAGCTGGCACTGGACCTCTCAATGGCAATGGCAAGAAGCATGCACTTTCCTCGGGCTCCCTCTGACTCAGAAATAATTTGACAGTTTGTTTATTTTCGAATTTTCGGAGTTTTTAATGAAATTGGAACCCATACATATTATTAATTTTGGGATTTTCCCTATTCGAGCAAACAATTAAAAAAATATTGAGTAGTTTTGAGACATCTTCAATAATTTAATTTTCTCGCTACTTCTTAACGAGTATAAAGAAAGATACATAATCTGCGGGGATTTTTTTCAGCAAAAACTCTAATTGACGCACTCCGGTAACGAAAAGTGGATAAATTCTGTCGCTGTGTTTTTTAAATTGGCTGCCTCTAATACTTTTTTTGGGGTGGGGTAGCAGAATCCAATGTTTTGTGGGTCATTGAGAACACGAAAAAAAAAATCGATTAACGGCGAAATATACGTCCTGTCCGTCCATCTGTCCGTCTGTGAACGACATCGCGATAAACCCGTTCAGGCGATTTTCTCCAAATTGATGATTTTCCTATCGATCTGGGTGACTGTCGCAAACCAATGAGTTTGAAATATGGAATTTTGGGAGGTGCTTTACATAAGAGCCTGAGACATTTTCCAAATTTTTTACAAAAAAGTGGACAACTAATTTTTTAATAGAATTTTGCGTTGTCGGGTAGCGTTAGACTAGAATGACGCAGGCCTTGATTTTCGTTTAAAATCCCTGATTTTACGAAAATTTCAGAAGTTCAAAACTTTTTCAAGCGTCTTCTTAGAACAAAATTATTTAAGATTTTTAGACCAGATAGGTTATTTTCTTTAAATATTTTTTCTCTAAATCAGAAGCCACTTGTTTATTAACTTTTGACTACGGAATAGCGAACAGGTCACTTAAAACTCAACGAAAAATAGATTTTATGTATTCCAAATACGAAGCATTGTGTCCATAGAGAACGTCTTTATAAGAACTGTCATAAAATCAACAACAAATGATATGAAAAAAAGTTCCATTATGGAACATGGTTGCCAGATTGGAGAAATTTTTGCCCCAGAATGAGGATTTATCTTCGTTGTGAGGAAAGAATGGGGAACATAAATGTCGAATGTTTTGGAGATTTTTTGAGGAAATTAATTTTACATGGATTCGCGATTGAAATGATTTATTCTCTCAATTATTATGAATGAGAAAAATAAATCGGTTATTTTTTTGTATCAAAAGAGAGCCAGTGGTGCTATAGAATGACACAGACTTTCCCATATAGTTTTCTATTTCTTTATGGTCTCGGATGCTAACGAACTTGCACAATTCTTGCCAGGTCATCTATTCACACCCAAAGTATTTTTTTTAAATTTTGTCTTAATTTTTCGGTTTCCGAATAGTAGAACAGAAATATTATTTTATAGCTATAACATAGCATAGAAAATGATGACCTTTCTTAGATATATGATGTTATTACTGCAGAGACTAAAATATATAAATCGGGCGGTGCGTAGCGGGGATCCGAGATTTTTAATTTGGATGACGCAGTAATAACACTGGTAAATTTCGTGGTAATGTTCAACATTTTATCTGGTCGCCATGAAATCTCACGATTTATGCGAGAAAGGTACATTACTTTGATAAAAAAATCAAATAGATCTGTTGCTGCAACAAATTACTACGATATGGTGGGATGATGCGTGTTTGTTTGTTTGGTTGTGTGCTAGCTTATTTACACAATATTGTATACGTGATTTGTGAAAAGAGGGATGCAATTATATCCCTGAAACCTAAGATACTTAAAATAAAGCGACGTTCAATTTAGAAAGTTGGCGCGTCGACTTCCCAGTAGCTAGCCGACACCTCCAGATCAACAGTAATATGATTATCGGTGAAAGAGTTTCATTTGAAGCAATGGTAGGAAAATGAGGTTTATTTTATCTATATGATCATTTTAATATCACTTTAATATTCAATTCACAATCATATCAACAGAACTAATACGAGGTGTTTTTCTGAATTGTTTTCAATCTGATGTCTATTAAAACATCGCCAGTTTTTTTTCATAATGCAAACATTTGACTTGGTGATGAATCGATGTTGTTTATTTACGTAGCTAAGTATGGTAAATCCGTTGCTAGGCATGGTTAAATTTCTTAAACGTACTGGTAGGTATAGTGCCACTTAACAAACCTACAGGGTTTGCTTGTCACAGTGGTTAAAGAACAGGTGAGCGATAGAGAATAATAAATAACGTAAACCTCGTCCTAAATGCAATTCCCCTTTGAAAAAAATTGGAGCCGTTTTTTTAAGAAAATGGTGGCATAATCTTTACAGTAAACTTCAAATTTGAAGCTCTTTTTCACGACAAAATTTTTGAAGTTTTCCGCAAACTTCATTGGAAGTAATTTGAATCACATTAATCATCAAACATAATATAGTAATGCTTACAGAATTGTTGCTGAAATGTACTATTACTGTTGAGTAGATTTCAAAAACTATTGGTGCACAAAGAATGAATAGACAACTAGTTTTCTATTTTCTTTTGTCCAGCTAGCTAACTCTGTTTGCCACATACTCTTTGCCAGCTGCCATCTATCGCCGGCCCAAATTACCATTTTTTAAACAGTGTTTTTAGTTTATTGGTGTCGTAATAAGTAGAAAGAAAGGAAATTTATTTTAAGATATTAATACCAGTAAATTTCGTCCTAAATGCCATTTTCTTTGATAAATTGAAGACGGTTTTTAAGAAAGGCATTTGAATCACATTACTATTAATACAATACAAGTAGTGTTTACAAATTTCCGGAAATGTGCGTGTTATGGTGAGAAATCTTATAAAAAAAAGTGCTAATTGCAGTAATTTTTTGAAAGAACAAAGCAAAAAGTTCTTCAAAATGAACTTAACGCCCATATTAAATAGTGCAATTAGGCACTATCTTATTCGAAATTGTTTGAACGAAAAATATGGAGCCAATAATGAGAAAATGGCGTTTTGGGAGGGGTTCTGAAAACGAAGCAAATTTGGAGCCAAGTTTTTACAGTAACACAAAACTGTTAAGTATTCGAGAAACCTGTATTTGGACAACTCCATAAATATAATAGTGTGAATAAATCGTCACTAGCATAAATATTAACCGACGTGAGAGGCCGACAAAAAAATTAATTTTTGCACTTGTTGAAAATAAACAAAAAAATAGCAATGGTGACTTTTTGTCATCTCACATTGCGCATTATACCTTACCATGAAAGTTAAGAAAATTTGGCAGACGTTTTTTGATAAAATCATTCCATTTGAACTTTTTATATTTGCTCATATTGCATGGCAATATTGGCGCGAAAAACTACTAAACTGTTTCAAAACATGTGACATGATATTATGAAATAAGTAATTATGGACCAACAATTTAATCTTTGAACGAAAAAATTTATCTTCATTTTTGTAGTTGTTAAGGAGCTTGACGCAAAGAAAATAATTACTTTGGACATTTTCGAAAAGTTCAGAAGTAACCGTGAAACTTCGTTTTTCCCATACCATTTTGAGTGGTTAGTCTATTTGTGTAAGAGTGTGTTAGTCTATTTTTACAAGAAATTTAAAGAAAAATTTGGAGTCGTTTTGAGAAATTTTTGGAAAGATGTCGCGGTGAATTTCATGTACAGTCGCCCCAAAATTTTTGAGGAATGTTATTCAATATGCTCAAAGATTCAACTCGAGCCAAGATGGACAAGTGTTTCTTGAGTGAGAAAAATCGCTAGCGCTTTGGTTAAGTGCGCTAGAGGATGTTCACAGACTGAGAGGGACGTTTTGCCGTCAATTGATTTTTCGGTATCAAGGACCAACAAAACTAGGGATTCTGGCTACACCTCGTGTTAGAGTATTTTTATTTCTTATATTTAGCAAGTGGGATTTATCCATTTTTTTGTTTTTCGGCCCCCGCTGGAATTAATTTTTTTCTGGCTGAAAATCCGACTGATTTTTTTCGCGCAGAATTACAAATTTTTTTCACATACTACGTATATTAACCCCGTATATCATGTGTATACGGGAAAATAAAAAATAAGCGACAGGCGTAGAGAAGGAAAACATGAGTAAAACGAAGATAGTTTAGGACTTGAGTAGAACAACTGGTTAAATTGCAATATTTGGAATTTAGACGTGAGCAGCCAACGGAATCGGGTCGGGGACAAGCTCAAGTCGTTGGTCCATTATTGGGAGAATATTTTTCGTTTTCACA